GTCCGACCCCCCTGTGTCCTGAACCCTAGCGCTATAAAGCCCCCGGACCGCTAAACCTTAAACCCTAAACCCTAAACCCTAAACCCAAACCCGACACCCGAAACCCGAAACCCGAAACCCTAAACCCTAAACCCTAAATCCTAAACCCTTCTTCTTTCTTCTTCCCCAGGCTCGATCCCCAAGTCGGCGACGGCTTTGTCGATCTCAGGGAGCGTGAGAACCGATGCCCCGGCACTTCTGAACGCCTTTGCGATGGCCGCAACCGCTGCTTTCCTTGCTGGTGGTCTGGGGTTTGGGGTTTAGGGTTTAGGGTTTAGGGTTTAGGGTTTAGGGTCTAGGGTTTAGGGTTTAGGGTTTAGGGTTTGAGGTCTCCATAAACGGCCTCAACTTAGCCTTCACGTTTCAGGGTCTAGTAAATGCAGATGGCGGCGGCTACAGCTTCTTCCTTACCTGTAGCTTCTTCCTTACCTGGTCTCCCTGCAAGTTTTAGGGTTTAGGGTTTAGGGTTTAGGGCTTAGGGTTTAGGATAAGGTTTCCTGTACTTGGGTTTTCAGGATACTTATAACCCACTCATAAGCTTAGTTAAAACCCACTTCTACAGGGTGGGGCCCCTCAGTTATAAATTGATTTATAACCTCTATAAATCAATTTATAACTTTCCTAACATAAATTATAAGTTGTTAAGTTCATGGTTTAGTTATAAATTATTTGTCCAAGATATAAGTTAGCTATAAGCTTTTTGTGCCCAACTTATAAGAAACTTATACAACTTAGCTTTAAAAAACCGTGTTTTCATGAGATCCATGCTCGCGACTGTGAGATATAGGATTTTGCAAGGTTATAGGCTCGGAACGATTGTTTTTCAAGTTCTAATCTCGAGGAGTTTCCACAGCTGATGTTCCGGGCCGGGCCGTGTTTTGCGAAGCCTTTGGCTTGGCACGCATTCGGGTCACATTCGGACATATACACCGACACGTCGGGGACACATCCGGACACATCCGGCACACACGGGGGACACATTGGGAACACATAGTGCAAAAGAGGGTGGACACACAGGAAAACACCGGACACAATGCAAAAAATGGGGCGGACACACCGGACACATCGCGGATATATCGCGGACACATCGGGTTTTCGACACACGCGGGGCACAGGCAGACACATCGTGGACACATCCCCACATCCCAAGCGCATGCGCTAAACGTTTTGTGTCCTTGCGTGCAGCCGTTTTGTTTCCTGTCTCAGCCAGACAGCTTTCGTTTCTCCGCAACACCAACTTGCTTTGAGATGGCGTTGCAGGGCCAAGAGACGCCTCTTCTTGAAGAGCGCCCAAAAACCTCTTTTTTTAAGACATGGGCTCTGCATGATGATTTTTACTACAAAAACAACATTTTGTAACTTATAAATCAACTTATAAGTTGGCTAACTAACTTAGCAAACTTAGTGTATAAGTTAGTTATAAGTGCTCTAAATTACATATAAGTATCTTAACTTACTTATAACTAAGGGGCCCCACCCTGTAGGCCCCTTGACTCTAATCGGGTTATACTTGGGCTATACGTACAGTAGTCATAGTCGGGTTGCTAAGTACCACGAAGCTCCAGCAATTGGCTGTAGAGTTTTGGGTGCTGGCTGCAGCTATTCGCCTCGGCTTCCTGCCGAGAAGCGCTTGGAAGAAGCAGACCCGGATCAGGTCTCCTTCCCCCTAACCCAGACCCCGCGCCCTGTCATCGCTTGCAGAGGTGCCTCAATCCGATGCCGTGGGGACGTGTTTGGGACCCCCCCTGGAAACCCCCTGGAACCCCTCCCCCCCCCCTAAGACCCCTGGCACCTTTATCTGGCGTGGGAGCTTCTTGGACCCGTGGGCCAGAAACTCCTTTCCTGTCCTGGGGCCAGCCCGAGCGGCGCGCGCAAGCGTTTATGGGGTTGCGGGGTTTTGGATATGCTCGGCACATGAGGGGAATGAACCGTCCCTGCGCCGGGCTGAAACCCGAAAACCCTGAACCCTAAAACCCTAAAACCCTAAAACCCTAAAACCCTAAAACCCTGAAACCCTGAAACCCTAAAACCCTAAAACCCTAAAACCCTAAAACCCTAAAACCCTAAAACCCTAAAACCCTGAAACCCTGAAACCCTAAAACCCTAAAACCCTAAAACCCTAAAACCCTAAAACCCTAAAACCCTAAAACCCTAAAACCCTAAAACCCTAAAAACCCTAACCCCTAAACCACATGTCGGTTGTAAGGTGTGTTGGGATTGGGCTGTCCTGTGTTCAGGATTTGTTGGGTACTGGGGTTTAGGTTCACGGCTTCGGGCTTCTTAGGATTGAGGTCGCTTCGGGCTCCGGGTTTTGGGCTTAGGTTTACGGATTTCTGCCGTTTTGTGAGCTAAACCCTATAATTCTAGCCAATAACTCTCTAATTACTCCGCCCTAAACTCTAAACCCCCAAGCCCCCTGGAACTTGAAATTAATAAGAAACATCCAAAAAACGAAACTCCTTGAAACTCCTCGAAACTTTCGCCGGACCTGAACCCTTAATAATTTCAATAAACCTACCGTTAGTTCCAGACAAGCTTCTCATTGGCCTGCATACACGGCCTCTCCCACGCCGACGGGGGGGTCGGCCTGAAAAGAAGCGGGGTAACACGGTTTTTGGGGTTTTGGGGGAGCCTAGGGTTTGGGATTTCGGGTTTAGGGTTCAGGGTTTAGGGTTTAGGGTTCAGGGTTCAGGGTTGAGAGTTGCGGGCGTAGTCAAGGTTTTATTTAGGCTTCAGACATCGGATGAGGCTGAAGGTTCGGGCCATTGAGGGCTAGTTGGTTGAACCGATTGGAAAAGGTAACGCCTAAAATCTTATGGATCCAAAACGCTAGACCCGAAACCCTAAACCTGATCAAACCTTAACCCTTGTTAAACCCCCCAGCCACCGAACCCTTAAAAGTACCTCAGCCGTTGAACCCTGAACCCTGAGATCCTATGCATCCTAAACCCTAAACCCTTAGAAACAAAGCACAGAACCCTTGTAAACCCTAAACCCTAAACCCCAAACCCCAAACCCTAAACCCTAAACCCTAAACCCCAAACCCTATAAACCCTAAACCCTAAACCCTAGAAAGCAGCTCAGCCCTTGAACAGGACTCAGCCTGGGTGTCTTCTCGGGCGTGATCTTCGGCGCGCTGGGCCGGGAATGAGTCTGCCTGGTTCGTTCCCAGAAGCCCATGCCCTTTTGGAGGGTTTAGGGTTTAGGGTTTAGGGTTTAGGGTTTAGGGTTTAGGGTGTAGGGTTTCAGAGTGTAAGACTCAGCGTGAAGATTCTAGGGGTTCAGGGTTTTGGGTTTTCTGGGTTCAGGGTTTAAAGGGTCTGGGTTTGTTCGAGCTTTAACAACCCTAAACCCTAAACCCTAAACCCTAAACCCTAAACCCTAAACCCTAAACCCTAAACCCTAAACCCTAAACCCCAGGAAGCAGCCCAGCCGCGGAGTCATGACAACCTTCTCCTCCTCCTCCGGCGTCCCAAGGCGGCTGCACTTCAGGGGAGTCTGCGGCTGGGGCTCGGGCGCTCGCTTCCGCTTCGCCTGCTGGCGCTCCGGCTCCTCGGATTGGTTTAGGGTTTAGGGTTTAGGGTTTGGGGTTTAGGGTTTGGGGTTTAGGGTTTAGGGTTTGGGGTTTGGGGTTTGGGGTTTGGGGTTTAGGGTTTAGGGTTTAGGGTTTAGGGTTTGGGGTTTAGGGTGTAGGGTTTGGGGTTTGGGGTTTGGGGTTTAGGGTTTAGGGTTTAGGGTTTGGGGTTTGGGGTTTAGGGTTTGGGGCTTAGGGTTGAGGCGGCTTAGGGTGTAGGGTTTAGGGTTAGAGCCATTGAACCTCCTCACACGATGCGGGAGAGGAGGAAGAAGCCAGCTGAGTCAACCTGGGTTGTTCCCAAAACCCCACCCCCCCCCCTTCCGCAGACATCAACTCGTTCTTAGTAGGGAATGAGGGAATGAGGGAATGAGGGAATGAGGGAATGAGGGAATGAGGTACCCTATAACATAATCTCTTAAAAGGTATATATACTGCGCCGGGCCGATAGTTCGACCCACCAACATCTTGGGGTTCTTACACCCATACCCCGCCCTCTTCCCCATAGACTCCTGACACAATGGGGCTGGGGGCCTCCTCCGGAGCTTCTATAGTACTATATTTTCAAAACGGGGTATGAATTTCTCCGCTAGCAGGCGCAGGGAAAATGCGACTTTTCGGCACTCCGCGACTCCGCGCAAGTATGCACCGTTTGCATGTTGTCCAACATGTGCCGTGGGTCGAAACTTTCGGCCCGGGGGTGTAGAGCCCTAAACCCTAAACCCTAAACCCTAAACCCTAAACCATTCCCTACTAAGAACCAGGGGGTTGAAAAAAACGACTTAAAAGATCCGTTCGGTGCTGGGATGTTCCCCCTTTATACTAACAGTCCTTAAAGGGCAGTGTGGTACCGGTTTAGGGTTTAGGGTTTAGGGTTTAGGGTTTAGGGTTTAGGGTTTAGGGTTTAGGGTTTAGGGTTTAGGGTTTAGGGTACCCCCTATTCTTAGCCCGATTAAGGACTGATAGTAGAAGGAGGAACATCCCAAGTTTGGAGAAAGCATTGTGATCTGGTTACAACTAGAAAAAGTGTTCACGGTTCTGGGGTGCCAATCAAAAATCTTGAAAAAATATCATAGCTAACATATATATATATATATGCATATACATATGTTTTTACGATTTAACATAGAAAACCTTTTCAACCCCAAACCCAAACCATAAACCCTAAACCCTAAACCCTCAACCCTACACCCTAAACTCTAAACCCTAGTTCCTGGGCACAGCCGAGCAACTGCACCTGCACCTGCAGCTCCCCGGCCGAGGTGGCCTTCTTCTCGGCCTGGAGCTTCCTCTCTTCCTGGAGTGCCTCGGGCTTTGGGGAGTCTCGGGTTCTGAGCCCTAAGCCCTAAGCCCTAAGCCCTAAGCCCTAAGCCCTAAGCCCTAAACCCTAAACCGGTCTTGGGTTTCGTTGAGGGATGCAATTCGGGGGTGGCCCCGGAGGTGCCTGGATGAGCTTCTTCTCGACCGCGTGCACTGCGCCTGCGTGTGGCCGGAGCTTGCTGAAGGGGACGCCCTCCTTCCGAAAGTACCGAGGGCCATGGCCCAGAAGGTTCCTTGCAAGGATTTTGGGTGTTTAGGGTTTAGGGTTTCGGGTTTAGGGTTTGGGGTTAAGGGCTTAGGGGTCAGTTAAGGGGTTTTCGGGCTTTGGGGTTCATAGGGCCAGGAGTTTGGGTAGTATACGGCTTCTCACCGCTAATTAAGAAGAAGGCTCGGATACAGCAGCGTCGCGCCATCTTCATTGGAAATGGCACTGATCAGCGCCGGGGTCCCCGAGATGTTCTTCCCGATGGCCCTCCGCCGATCTTCCGCCACGGTGACCCAGGTACCTAAGACTTGCGAGAAGGTGCAAAATGGGGCGAATATTGAAAACAGAACTGACAATCAGACCGTCAGCCTCAATGTCTGAGTGTCTGCACCGTTTACGCTGTCAATCTAAGACTCTATAGGGCCCTTTGGGGTTAGGGATATAGGGTTATCAGGAAATAAGGATATGGGGTTCGAGGGTGACCGGGTTAAGTTAAGGAACGAAAGAGGGGCTCAGTTCAAGTTCATTTGGCGGTGGTGTATCGGCTTTAAGGTTTGGGGTGTTTAAGCTTTACTACTATTCGCTTAAGAACCCCCGCCCCCCGCCCCCCCCCCCCCCCTGCCCCCCCAACCAAAAAAATATTCTTCTGTATCAGGGTAATATAGGGATTACTATCTCATATTTCTGGGGGGTTCTTAATCAAACAGTAGTTTGAGGCAACTGAAGAACTTCAGAGGTACCAAGCTTGAACTTCTGCGCCAAGCGAAACATGGCTGAAGCGATGTTCAGGCGAGTGCGGCGAGGAATCTGGGGCAAGGGCAGGGGGCTGTGAACCCGAGACTCACTGAGCCTGAAAACCGCAATCCTCTGCGAAACAAGATGCGGATCTGGAGCCTAGAAACTACTGCGGGCCACAACAGGAACGTGGGCTGCAAAGAAAGCTTCAGCGTTTAGGATTTGGGGTTTAGAGTTGCGGGTTTAGGGACTTAAGGTTCAGTGTTCAAACCGTGAACCTAAAGCCTAAACCCTAAACCCTGAACCCTGGGATAACGTATTGCAGTGCGGGAATTCTGGTCGTTCATCAGCAAACCTATCCCCCAAAATAGATTGGATACGAATCGCACTGGGAATCCCAGACCATTCTTGGGCCTTTGTATGTAGGGTGTTAAAGGTATGTAGGGCTTAGGGTTTAGGGTTCAGGGTTAGGGGTGTAGGGTTTGGGGTTTAGGGTTTAGGGGTTGAGTTCTCAAAGGCCGAAGGGCATCTGGCCGAATATGCCAGAAATGCACCGAGCCGCGCCAGGAGTGACAGGGTTTAGGGTTTAGGGTTTAGGGTTTAGGGTTTAGGGTTTAGGGTTTAGGGTTAAGGGTTTAGGGTTTAGGGTTTCGGGTTCCGCCAGGAGTATCAGAGAAGAGGCAGCCTTTTCTGTCTCAAAGCCGAGCACACGAACTTAGCCTGAAGGTTCATCAATGGAGTTATAAAGGAGCAAAGAAAGTCTGTCATTAACCATGTGAAACTTATGACTACAACTAGCTACTTGCGTGTAACCTTCATGTGGTGTCTTTGCACCGCAACCTACCGTCATCCGGAAGGGGCCACGTAAGACTACACAACATGGCTGCTGCACGCTCTGCATGCGCCATATACGGGGTCATGCGCCCTAAACCCTAAACCCTAAACCCTAAACCCTAAACCCTAAACCCTAGACCCTAAACCCTAAACCCTAAACCCTAAACCCTAAACCCCAACCCAGCAGGGCTTAAGAGGGATCGGGACCACTCAAGCCTGAAACCTGCGCCCTACCCCACCCTTTGTTCTGCTTGCCCCAACTTCTAATCCCTGTTGTGGGGAGTTTAGGGTTTAGGGTTTAGGGTTTAGGGTTTAGGGTTTAGGGTTTAGGGTTTAGGGTTGTTTATAGGGTTTAGGATGAGTGGTGACGCAAGAGTTCCTCAGTCTTGCATCGGCCTCGCATAGCTGCTACCTGAAGCCGCTTTTGGGTCGAGGCTTGAGGTTCTGGGGTCTACAAGCCTACGTGTGTGGGTCGTTGAGGATGTTTGAGGGTCTTGGGGGTTTAGGGTTTAGGGTTTAGGGTTTAGGACTTAGGGTTTAGGATTTAGGGTCTACGGTTTAGGGCGTAGGGATTAGGGTTATTAGACTGGTGTTTGCGATTTAGGGTTGGAGGGTGTTGGGGGAGGCTCATTTTGACTCAGTACGTCTACTTAGTATCCCCTACAAACCCTTGAATAATCCCCAGAACCCACCTTCCTAACCTTACTTACTAAAACAAAAGGGCTTCCAAGTAGGCTTTTTGAGGGTGTAGCAGGCCTGAAACTCCAACCCTAAACCCTAAACCCTAAACCCTGAACCCTAAACCCTAAACCCTAAACTTGTGATCCGATATGAGTGGTAGTTTCACTTTTCATCTTACCTTTTTCTTGAGGATAGAAAATCATGAAAAAGAAACTCTTCACAACCCTAAACCCAAAACCCCAAGAAGCCTAAAGCCTAATCCCTAAACCCTAAACCCTAAACCCTCAACCCTAAACCCAAAACCGTGAAACCTAAACCCTAAACCCTAAACCCCAAACCCCAAACCCCAAAACCCAAACCCCAAACCCCAAACCCTAAACCCTAAACCCTAAACCCTAAACCGCCACCTCCAAGGCGGCATCCCGATCGTCGCGCTCGACACCGGCGTCCAGAAGTGCGCGAACCTGAAGGGCGTTTAGGGTTTAGGGTGTAGGGTTTAGGGTTTAGGGTTTGGGGTTTGGGGTTTGGGGTTTAGGGTTTAGGGTTTAGGGTTTAGGGTTGAGGGTCGAGGGTTTAGGGTTTGGGGTTTGGGGCTTAGGGTTTAGGGTTTAGGGTTTAGTTAGGGGCTAGGATGGCGCTTAAAACCCTATGACAACTATGCCTGATCCTCTTAAAACCAAAAAGGGGCAAAATGCAAAATGTCCCAAGGTCCTACCGAGGGTTATAAGGGATGATCTGTTTAGGGTTTGAGGGTTCGAGGGTTCGAGGGTTCGAGGGTTTAGGGTTTAGGGCTTAGGAGTGTTTAGGGGCCGGAAACTGAGAATTTAGTTGTAGGGTTCAAGGGTTACAAAGCAGGCTTGCAAGGGCTTAGAAGGGCTGAGGATGCAACGGTTCTAGTAGCTTAGGGCTTAGGAAACCCTATAACCTTGGGTCACATACCCCCCTTGAACCCCCCCCTCCCTTCAGAACTTCTATTGCCGTAGCGTGTTGAATAAGCTACGCCGTCTTGAGCCTTCTCCCTCCTGCTCGCATTTGCAAGCAGTGTACTTTTAGACGGTCATAAGCTCAGGCCTCCCTAAACCGGAAACCCTGAACCCTAAACCCCTCCCAGATTAAACCCAACGCCAACCCAACGACCGCCGAAAAAAGAACAATAGCCTTGAGTACAAGGAGCACCCTACACAATGCCATGAAGATAAGTAGGACCCTAATCTCCTCATTCCCTACCCTGCTAGGAACCCTAAACCCCAAACCCCAAACCCTGAACCCTGAACCCTAAACCCTAAACCCTAAACCCTAAACCCTAAAACCTGAACCAAACCCTAAACCTTGAGTTCAAGGAGCCGTCTCGAGATGCCCCTCAGAGGAGGCGCGGAAGAGCGCCGTGCGACCAAAGACGTCGGGCTGGTGCCGGTTGGCCCCGGCGGCAAGTAGAAAGCACACCTTCAGGTTGAGGGTTGAAGGTTTAGGGTTTAGGGTTTAGGGTTTAGGGTTTAGGGTTTAGGGTTTAGGGGTTAGAGTTTAGGGTTTAGGGTTAGGGTTTGGGGTTTAGGGTTTAGGGTGTAGGGTTTAGGTTTGGGGTTTCGGGTTTAGGGTTAGGGTTTGGGGTTTAGGGTTTAGGGTTTTGGGTTTCGGGTTTCGGGCTTTGGTTTGGATTTAGGGTTCAGGATATAGGGTTTAGGGTTGTGTTTTGGGCGTTTCGGGCTTCAACACCCGCTTCCGAGGATGCCTTCTGTTTCCACTGGGGATGCAAGGAGCTGATAATCACCATTGTTTAGGCCATGCAATCCCAAAAACCTGAACCACAAACCCAAAACCACAAACCCAAAACCCTAAACCTCAAACCCCAAAACCCTAAACCTCAAACCCTAAACCCCAAACCCCAAACCCTAAAGCCTCAACCCTTTCTTGGTGGAGGCCTAGTTGCACCCCCAAGAAGGGCTACCGGGGGGTTGAATCCTGATAAAGTTTAGGGTTTAGGATTTAGGGTTCAGGGTTTAAGTTTAGGGTTAGGATTTAGGGTTCAGGGTTTAAGGTTAGGATTAGCCCTGAAGCTAACCTCGGAAGCCTTAACGCCCAGAACCCTGAAGCCTCAACCAAGAAATCTTAAAGCGCAGAACCCTAGCCCTAAAAGCCCCAAAACTCCAAATCCTAGTTGTTCTGAATGATTGTTCCTTTTTTTTTTTTTTTTTGGGGGGGGGGGGGGGTTCCTTACAGTACCCCTAAACCCTAAACCCTAAACCCTAAGCCCTAAGCCCCAAGCCCTAAACCCTAAACCCGGAAAGGTGTCAAGAGGCCATGTCCACGTGGCCGCTTCCGGCCGCCAGCTTCAAGGCAGTGTTCCCTTCCTTGAGGACCCAAGGGTTTAGGCTTGCGGGTTTAAGGTTTGGGGTACCCTAAACCCTAAACCCTCAACCCTGAAACTGTAAACCCTCCACCCAACCCTTTAGTTTAGCCATGAGCCCCCACTCCCTAAGCATAGCAGCCTGGTTGAGATTCCGGCTCTCCTTATGGCTTCGAGATGGGAAACCCAAGTACATGACGCCTATGTGCTTTAGGTTTAGAATGCCCAGCCCCACCAGATGGGAAGCCCCAAAAGGCTCAACAACTCAAGAGACGTTTGGGTATTTAGGTAGGGATTGCGGATGTAGGGTTTTAGCATCAGCAAAGGTTGATTAGCGGTGGAGGGACCCAATGAACCCTTGAAACTTTGCGGTCTATCGACTCTATTGGGGGGCGTCAGTTTTGGGGTTTAGGGTGATGATTCCACACTTTACCTTAAACTCTCCGTACCAAACCCTGAACTCCAGCCTCTACACCCCTAACTCTGACCCAAAACCCAAAACCCCACCAAACCGCTAACCCTAAACCCAAAACCCTAAACCCTAAAGCCTAAAACCCTAAACCCCATAGAGCCCACAACATTAGACATGGTTGAGTCTTCAGTCTTGGGTACTTACAGGGTCCCTTAGTATGGGCCCTAGATGGAAACCCCTTACATCCCTCTCCGACCCAAGGGCCCATACTTCTAAAACACGTTAAAGGAGGTAAGGGACCATATGAACACGCTAAACCCTAAACCCTAAACCCTAAACAAACCCTGAACCCTGAACCCTGAACCCTAAACCCTGAACCCCAAACCCTAAACCCTAAACCCTAAACCCTAAACCTAAACCCTAGACCCTAAACCGTAAACCCTAAACCCCTGAACCCTAACCATATTCAGGGCCATATAACTTCCCTTTGATCCAAGGTTCGGTGTCCACCCCGTCGATGTTGGTGCGGGCTTCGAGCAGCAGGCGTACCTAAGGGCTCTGGGGTTTAGGGTTTAGGGTTTAGGGTTTAGGGCTCTGGGGTTTAGGGTTTAGGGGTGTGGGGATTCAGGGTTTGAGGGCTTGTGGCCTTGGGGTTTTGGGTTTGGGGGTCAGGGTTTGGGGCTTAGGGCTTTGGGGGTTAGGGTGCCGGGTTCAGGGCTTTGGGGTTTAGGATCTAGGGGCTTTAGGTTGAGGGGTTTAGGGTTT